TATTATAAAGATACACAAGAACTCCACACTGTAAAATGGACCACCCCACACAAGAAGCAGCTGGTCTGTTCTGAGTTCTCTGTTTGCCTGAGCCTGGACATCTACAGAATGAGGGAAGACAAAAGAGATGACAAGGAGAGGGGCAGGAGGGCTACGAGAACCTCAGTTTCCCTACCGATGAATGCTCAGTGGGGACTCAGGATTTCACTGGGCGCCTTCTCTCTCCTTTGCGAAACAGTGAAGGGTCTTTCTTACACAGGATAGGGGAGAAGCTTCTTTAAGCGTGTATCTGCTGGGGTGTTAGAGCAGGTGAGAGCACACACCTTTAATTCCAGCATTTGGGAAGCAGAAGCAGATGGGCCTCTGAGTTCCAGTGTAGCCAGATCTACAGTGACTTCCAGGACAGCCAGGGCTACACAGAGAATGAGACCATGGGCTCAATCCAGCATTGAGGAGTGGGGAAGCCATAATGTCTTACGGAGGAGATGACCAAGGAAGATTCTTTGTGCTTTTCTTTCCCTCCTGCCTTGGGCCAAGTAGGTTGTGCAAAAGCAAGCTGACTTGTTCTGTTGTGTTAATGCTGTCATCTTTGTGGAATGGTGATAATGTTTCCCTGTCACCTGTCCTGTTGCTGTCATCTCATCATTATTAATATTATCTTCACCATTACTTTTTTTTTTTCTTTTTTCTTTTTGGTTTTTCGAGACAGGGTTTCTCTGTGGTTTTGGAGCCTGTCCTGGAACTAGCTCTTGTAGACCAGGCTGGTATTGAACTCACAGAGATCCGCCTGCCTCTGCCTCCCAAGTGCTGGGATTGAAGGCGTGCGCCACCACCGCCCAGCTTTATCTTCACCATTACACCCAACCCTTGGTAAAAGGCAGAGAAACAATTATTGCTATTGTGATTATTATGTGTTGCTGTGTTGGGGGTTGAACTCAGGATCTCATACAGACTGGGCAAAGATCTTCCTTCAGAGATCTATAACCTTATCCTTGGAGCTGCCTCTTCCTTTCCTCCTCCTCCTCCCTCTTCTTTAAATAGAGGCAGGGTCTCATATTAGTCCAGGCTGGCTTTGAATTCACTATGTAACCCAGGCTGGCCCTGAATTTCTGCCTCAGACTCCTCAGTGCTGAGATTACAAAGACACACTACCACAACTAGCTATTTTTTTCTGTTGGGATCATGATGGCTCCAAGTCGGAGATCCTCCTGCTCAGTCTCCTGGGTGCTGGGATTCCTCTTATCATAAGGAATCACTCTGTGGAGTTTATACCTGTGAGATAGAACTGGCTGAAGGTAAGGCCATCCGATGCCATTGGCAACCCACGGAATATCCCTTTTGTTTGTTTTTATTTTGAGACAGGATCTCACCATGTAGCAGTGCCTGCCTGGAACTTACTATGTAGACTAGGTTAGTTTCAAATTCACAGAGATCCCTCTGCCTCTGCTTCCCAGGTGCTGGCACTAAAGGCATGCGCACAGTTCAGTTGGGTGTGATGACACACGCCTTTAATTCCAGCACTGGGGAGGTAGGAGCAGGTGGATCTCTGTGAAGGTTAACCTCGTCTATATACACAGTGAGTTCTGGGATAGCCAGAACTACATAGAGAGCCTTGTCTCAGAAAACAACCCCCCCCCCCCAAAAAAAAAATCCCAAAAATCCTAGAAATAAAATGAAGTGTATGAGTCTATAGTTCCCAGCACTTTCACAAGGCTGTGCAGCCCTCCTGGGGTCTCAGAATTCGTGTAACTGCCTACCCTGTAGGTTTCTTCTTCCAAACCTGAGCCATTATTACTCCACTGCTAATATTGGCTTTCTCTGGACACTTGCTGTAAGTAAAACATACGACATGTGGTCCTGCCCTCACTTCGCAGGTCGATTTATCTGCAGTGTGTGTAGTAACGCTTCATTTTTTATGGTTGAGTAACACCCAGCTTTGCCATTACACGCCATTTGTTTATCCAGGCATCAGCTGATGGCCAGGAGTTGCTTCCACCTCTAGGCTCTTGTGAGCAACGCTGCTGTGCATGTTTGGTGACATCTCTATGAGCACCTCTGCTTTCATTTCTCCAGGGTATGTGCCCAGATTTCTGTCCACATGTTCAGCAGGAAGATACTTTTACACACTCAGGTCAAGATTCCTCTGAACATTCAGGGAACAAAACAGAGACACTGAAACTGTAAAACTATACTCCACCTTCAAGGCCCACTTCATTTTTTTTTTCGTTCTGTGTTTTGAGACAGGGTTTCTCTGTAGCCTAAAGCCTGTCCTGGAACCAGCTCTGTAGACTAGGTTGGCCTCAAATTCACGGAGATCTGCCTGCTTCTGCCTCCCGAGTGCAAGGATTAAAGGTGTGAGTCACCATCGATTGGCCCACTTCATTGCTGTGAACACTCATTGTCTATGTATGTGTTCTCTAGCTGTTTTTAGGCACTGTGTTGTAAATAGCAGGGAACAACACAGAACATTCTCATCCTTTGAAGGCTGAAGATTCAATGTGGGTAATAAGGAATTAAATATGCTGATATAACTTCCTCCCTGAAGCTTCCACAGCATCCCAAGAAAGGCTAAACTCTACTCTGGTATTCATTTATTTATTTGGTTATTTGTTTGAAACACAGGGTCTCTTGTAACCCATGCTGGCCACAAATCATTATGGAGCTAAGTATAGCTTTGAACTTTCTTCCTCTTCCTCCTCCTCCTCCTCCTCCTCCTTCTCCTCCTTCTCCTCCTCCTCCTCTTCTTCCTCCTCCTCCTCCTCCTCCTCTTCCTCCTCCTCCTCCTCCTTGTTCTTTTTGGTTTTTTCAAGACAGAGCTTCTCTGTAGCTGTAGACCAGGCTAGCCTCAAACTCACAGAGATCCACTTGCCTCTGCCCGCCGATTGCTGGGATTAAAGGCATGCACCACCATTGCCCAGCAGCTTTGGACTTGTGAAATCATTATTATTAAACAATGTGGTGTGTGATGGCATTAGTGTGGAGGTCAGAGGACAACTTTTTGGAATGTGTTCTCTCCTTCCTCTGCAGGTAGGTTTCAGGGGTCAAACTAAGGTCACCAGCACTTTTTACCATCTCAGCCATCTAACTGGTGCTGTGTCCTTGAACTTCTGATCTTTCTGCTTCTACCTCAAGAAGAAGCAGAAGATGTGGGCCACTATGTCAGATTTGTGTGGGGCCAGGGATGGAACCCAGGACTTCACACTTATTAGTCAAGCATTCTACCACCTGAGATATTGGTCATTTGAGACAGGGTCTCAGGTAGCTCAGGCCGGTCTCCCAACTTCCCAAGTACCAGACCTACACGCTCACACCATATTTGACCATTTATCATTGTTTTGCTTCAAAGGTAACTTCGCTACTAACACTGTGATAATGCATGTACAGCCCTCGGCAAATCTGAGGTTTTATTACAGAGGAAGGGTTTACTCTGTGTCCTCCCATTTGTGCCCACGTGAAGGATGACATATCAGCTTGCAGTCTGGCATCCCATGAGAGCAGGCAGTAATAGGGGAATATCTTAATGTTCTGACTTCGATGGAGCCTTTTCCGGCTCCATCAAGGTTACCCAAGCCAGAGGCTTTCAGGTTCTTGTCTCTCAGTTTTGAAGAATGAGATTCATGGACCACAGAAAGTGAGTTTTACAGGAGAGGTAGATGCAGTAAGGAGCTGAAGGAGAAAAAAAAAGCCAGCTTCTGGGCAGCAGAGGCCCAAGGGAGAAAGTGGGACCAGCTCCTGGGCAGCAGAGGGCCAAGGGAGGGAGTGGGACCAGCTTCTGGTCAGCAGAGGGCCAAGGGAGGGAGTGGGAGCCACTGCCTGGGAGTTGGTGGGGGTTTTGTGGATGGAGGAAGTGGGGGGGGGGGGATAAGCTGGTCAGTCCAGGTGTCAGAGGTCTTTGCCCGGAAAGGGGTAAGCTAAAAAGACACAGAGCCCCTTCTTGGCATCTCCAGCCTTTGGTTGTGGTAAAACCAGGGACACCTCTGGTTTAGACACTTCAAGTATCTCTAGCCTCAGGCAAGTACAAGGCTCTGGGCATGCCCAAGGACATTTTTTTTTTTTTTTTTTTTTTTTTGGTATTCAGCCAAGTAAGAGACTTCTTATTTGGGCTTTTTACCAAAACTAAACTGTCTAAGCCAGTTTTCACCTGTTATCAGCAGCTGGGACAGTTTACCTTGGACCCCCCCCCCCCCCCCCCCCCCCGCAAGTTTCCTGAATTCCTCGGACATTCCACTCAACTCGGGTTCAGTAACCCTACTTCCACTCCTGCCCTTCACTTGGAGCCCACCAGCAGAGCCTTGGAATCTACGCGACCCGTGGCTTTCTTATAGACACAGCCTGGCCATAAAACACCATGATGTCATGGGGGCCATTCCCATATTACAAGGTAGATCTAAGGACTGGAGAGATCTGAGGGTGCTTGAAGGCGTTTCTGGGGTGGGGATGGGGCAATGCTATGACTTGTCAGACCAAATAGGCCAATTTCTTTATTGGCTAGCCTACCACACAGGGAGATTGGGTGGGGGTTTCCTACATGGGACTAGTGGCCTGGTAGGGCTTTGGAATTTCATAACACTCGTGGTTTTTGTTTGTTTGCTTGCTTGTTTGTTTTTTTAACTTTCTATTGAACCTAGAGCCTTGGGCTTGGTAGGAAAGAGCTCTACCACTTGGCTACAGCGCCAGCGCAGTTCTAGTTTTAATTACCTTCCTTGGTCTGAGTATTCCTAAACCCAAGCACTAAGCCAGGGTGCTCCGAGCTTCAGAATATGAGGCCAGGAGGCTCCACTGGGACGCCAGTCATTTCCAGGTCCCTGATCCCGCTGGGCCCTTCCGATGAACGCAGTAGGCGACGTCACTTCTTCCCGGCCCCGCGGGGGTCCCTGGAGAGCAGCTCTAGTCCTGTGGAGAGATCAGACAGTCCACCGGCTTCTTCCGGGAGCACCCCAGCTGTGCCTGGCGGACCGAGGATTAGCAGCTAGGAGTCCCGGGACGAAGGGGCGGAGCCGGTGACGGCGCGGGGGTGGGGGCGCGGCCGACGGGTCACGTGGTGAATCAGCCCAGCGGCGGGCGGAGCTGCCCGGGTACTTAGTGGGGCGCCCGAGAGGCCAGGTGCGGCTCGGTTCGGCTTGGCGGCTGCAGGCCGGGGCTGTAGCGCTGCGCTCGGTGAGTGTGCTCGGGGCGCAGTGGCTCCGCGGCAGAAGTCACCTTAGCTGGGGGCGGGGGCGCGGGCGGCGGGGGACAGGGCCCCTCGTTTGCCCAGGGCGCAGGCGCGGTTCCTCCGCGGCCCTGGGTGCTGTGCACCGAGAATGGTCTTACCCGGCGGGGAGAGGGTTCCTGAATTCGGGCAATGTAGGCCAGCTGCACTGGCGGCCTGCACGCCCTTAGGGCCGGGCCTGGTGACCCCGTGCGGGTCGGCGTACCTCCTGTGGCCTTGGCGCACTCCAAGGGCGGAGCTGGGGACTTGGGGGAGCTCTGAGGGAGGAGCCTGCAGGGAAGGGTTCGGCCCTGGCCCTCTTGCCAACCCGCGGGCTCCGGGTCTTAGTGGTGCTCAGGGCGGGTATTGACCTGCATCTAGTCCAGGTTTGTGGCTTATTCTAAAGAATCTGCCCCGGCAACTTACCACACAAGCCCACGCATTGCCTGGCACCCTAAAAGACCGGTCCTATAGAGAACAGGAACCTGGTGGGTGGCTGGGGTGGAACCTGCACGAAGAGTTAAACCGAGAAACAGGAAGAGAAGCGGAGTGGAATAAAGGATAGGGGTGCTTAGGTCTGCTCTCCCTTTTGGACCGGGATGGCCAAGATGATGGGAATGTGGAGGGGTAGAAGAACATGCAGGACAATCTTTATCAGTCAGGATTCTGCTGGCGCCGAAGCGGCGTGGGGTAGGTCTGCACAGGCAAGGTGTTGGGCATGCTGCAGACCAGGCGATAGGTGAATTGAAGTTAGTCCCCTAGGGGCCTGCTTAACCCTTGGTGTCTGAGGAAGACTGAACTGATCTCCAGGTGCCTCCTCTGGGAGGGCCGAGGAGTTCTATCCAGATTCAGAGGGGTAGCGGGTGGAGAACGTTGCTGAAGGTACTCCCACCATTCCTCGCAGCCCTCAGCTCTCGAGGGAGAATTGCTCCTCATAGGTTCTGGCCACAGTGGCCTAAAACTCCAGAGCTCCCAGAAGCATACCAGAGCCAGGCAGTCACAGCGCTTGGAAGGCTGAGACAGGAGGATCGCTGTGCACTGGAATCTAGCCTGGGCTACATAATGAATCCCAAGGCAATCTGACTACAGAGTGAGACTGTTTCACCTCCCAATCCTCCTTCCTCCCAAAGAGGAAAAAAGGCACCCTGGAGGAAATAACCAGTGCTCCTTTAAAAAGCATGCTTCCTGGGCCTGCAGGGGGCTGGGGGCGAAAAGGTGGGCTCACGTTTGTGCTTCACCAGCCCAGGGGGCCTCGGAGGCTTCTGGTACCCCTCTCTCGATGTTGACTATTTCAGACTAGTCAGGCTCTTGGCTCCAGTTTGGAACTGCCCCGTGGAGGTGCTGGTTCAGCAGTCTAGGCTGAGGTCTTTTTGTGGTATGTATGGGTGGAAACCTTTAGGTGTCAGAGTCTCCTGTTGGCTAACTGACTTTTGATGGTCTGTTGTAAGGAAAGTACTAGGTATGTGTGAGGTTGAACTGTATGCAATGGAACTTTTGAAAGTCAAAAAGGAAACCAGGGACTTCAATGGTGGGGCCAGCTGGCAAAGGTGAGGTATATAAAAGTCTGTGTAGTCTTTGCTTAGCTCACGGTCCGAATCCCTGGTCCCATCATCTCAGAACTCTCTTTGCTTAGCTAACAGTCCGTATCCCTGGTCCCAGCCTGGAGCTGAGCTGCCTAAGAAAGGGTGGAGGATCCATCTGGAGTCCTTTCGTGGCAGTAGTTTATATTCCACCCTACATTGAGCATGGTGGAAGTTCTAGGGGTGTAGCTCCGGCTGCAATGCTGGAACTGTCTGGTTTGTCTGAGGTGCTGAAATCCAACCCAGGGCTTTCTGCATGCTCATCATGTACTCTGCCCCTGGACTACACCATACCTAGCCACCTTTAGCCAGTCTCCTCCTCCATCCCTCCCAGCTTTTTGAAGTCCTGTAGTTCAGGCAGGCCTTGAACTGGACAGTTCTGCCTCACCCTCCCCACATGCTAGGTCATTGACTTGAGGTGTCTCTCCTGGTTTAGTCTTTTTTTTTTTTTTTTATGAGAATGGGTCTTATCACTCATGGTGTAGCCTTGGCTAGCTTGAAACTAGGTTTGTAGACCAGGATGGCCCAAGCATGACAGAGTGCACAAACTCAGAGATAAACCTGCCTCTGTCTCACCAGTGCTGGGATTAAAGGAATAGGCCACCGTTCCTAGAAGGCCCTTCATTTTTAGCTTCAAGGCTGAACTCCCCTTTCTGGAAACCTGTTTCTCCCAGACTCAGGTTTGGGGTAGAGGTAGGGTGCTTCCCTCTGAGGGGACATGTTTCATTGTGATCAGTTTGGCTCCTAGACTTGCTTTGTCTTTCAAAGGACTTTGGTAGCTGTTCTTTTTCTTATCCTTCTTTTCTACTTCTGTGCTTGAAATACAATGTATCCAATCTGTACCGAACAATGTATACAGTTGTTCTATGTAATTTAATCGTACTATGTGTCTTTTTCACCCAGTTTATGAGATTTGCTAATGTTGCCTGCAGATTTAATGTTTATTTTAATTTGTTGGGGAGAGGGTGGCAGAGTGGCAAAGGTCTCATGTAGCCCAGCTCAAACTCAATATGTAGGTGAAGATTAGTTTGGAGTTTTTTATTCACTTTGTAGACCAGCCTGGCCTCGAACTCACAGAGATCCACCTGCCCCTGTCTCCCGAGTGCTGGGATTAAAGGCATGTGTCACCATGCCCTATTGTTCCTCCTACTACCGCCCAAGTGCTGAGATCCCAGGTGTACACCTGTCATGCCCGGGAAATTCAGTTTGTTAGTCATTTTTTTGTTTGTCTATCTGAGACGAGGTCTGTGTAGTCCTGACTCTCCTGTAAACCAGGCTGGCCTTGAACTCAACAGAGATCTACCGGCCTCTGCCTCCTGAGTGCTGGCATTAAAGGTGTGCACCACCACACCTGATCTTGAATGTGTTGACCTGAAGGACAGTTAAAATTTCCTACTTCTATTTCTTTTCCTCCTACCTTTTCACTCTTGTTCCTAGTGGCACAGTAAATCCTCTTGGGCAAAGCAAAATAGGCTAAATTGCTGGATGGAGACCTGTACACATTTGTTCTGCTGGATAGCGATGATATCCCCTCCCTTCTGTGGCTCTGCCACCTTGCAGTTCAGGAGTTCCTGTTCCCATGTCCCAATTAGATCTTACCAGGCCCTAATTGTCAGTGTGATGGCTTTGGTCCGTGTGCCTTCATTGCTGTCGAAGTCTTGATTAGTGAAGCTCTCCCTGGTTTTGTGGTTGGTCACAGGTAGCACTTGTGCTAATGTTCATTTTGTTGTTGTTGTTTTAAATATTAGGATTTTAGCTCATTGTGGTAGTGCACTATCTTAATCCCAACCCTCTGAGAGTTCAAGGCCAACCTGTATCTTTGTTTCATGTTCTAGGTCAGTCAGGGCTACATAGTGACCCTGTCTCAAAAAATTAAAAAAAGTTTGGGTTTAGATTTGGGTTTTGTTTTTTTTGAGACAGGATCTTATATAGCCCAGGTTAGCTTCAAAATTGATAGTAGCCAAGTATGACCATGAACTCAAGTTTTATTTCTTATGCCTGTGCCTTTCACATGCTGAGCTTAACACACGGATGCCACCATGCATCTACAATTGTCTGAGTTCTTTAGGTCATAAACCTGGGTAGCTGAGCTTAGCTGCAATTAGTTGTAGTTTCTAAATAGGTCTGTGTGTATGTATGTTTGTATGTAGGTAGTGGGGGACAGACGTTGACACTCCACTTAATGAGGCAGGGCTACTTATACCCCAGAGCTCACTGATTTGGCTAGTCTTGCTAGCCAGATTGCCGCAGGGATCCTTTTTCTCTGACTTCCAAATGCTGGGATTGCAAATGCAGGCCACCAGGTCTTCAGTGTTTACGTGGGCATTCGGGAGGCAAGCCCAGCTCCTCATGACTGTACAACAGTACTTTCCCCGCTGAACCATCCTCCAAGGCCTAGTTTTTAAAATCCAGGAGGTGTGGGAGGTTGGGGGACTTTGCAGATGGGAAAGCGAAGTCACCTGCAAGTCTGTCACATTGTTAGAGACACTTGAGGAATAATGGTGGAAAGTGACCTGGAATTTGATCTCCAGAAGGTTATTCATGCCTACTCAGGTATAGCCATTCGGGGCTTGGCCATGGTCTCCCCTCATGCCTTAGTTTCCCTCATCCGTGAAATAGAAGCCTTCTACAAGACTGGAGGGCTCTTTCCAGAACTGTTTTGTAAAAGCTGAAGGCTGGGAAGGACCTGTGGTCTGTAATCTCTACTGTAACCTGTTTTTACTGGGCCAGTAACCCTACAGTCTAGCCAAGATAAAACAGCTTTCCAGCAGGCAGGGAGGAAGAGAATGGGGCTGCTGAGTGCCAAGTTAGTGTCCACAGAACATAGAGAACACTTGGACAATCTGCTCTCACAGCAGAGTTGGCTGCTCTCTGACCCTCTGACCTGCTGATCTGGCCCAGGCAGGAGGTGCTCATCCAGAGAGTCACAAGTCCTTCCTGCTTGCCTAAGGCAGGTGGTGCTGGCCAGCTTGTGCCGGTGGAAAACGGTTTCAGGATTCAAGCAGCCTGCCACTTGTTCTCAACTTACTGATCCCCTCTGGGTTTGGGGCTATACTTCGTTTTGATAATCAAATAGTAGAATATACATCGGCATATAAAACTTTATTACAAATTGTGTGATGGTCATAACTTTTTTACTCCAATCAGGAGTCCTGGTAGGGAGGAGAGGTGTTGTGAGACAGCCTCATATTCGAGGCTGGCCTCTGTAGTTCACACTATAGTTCACAGTGTAGCCGTATCCTGCCTCTTTGAGCTGCTGTTCTAGGCATATGTCATTACCTCTGGTTTAATGTGATGCTGGGGACTGAACCCAGGATGCTAGCTAGCAAGGCAAGCACTCTGCCAGCTTGAGCTTATCCCTGGTCTCAAACTGTATACTTTTTAAGATG